TATTTGAAGCAAAAACGTTGCTGAAAGTGAAGCTATCTTTTCTATATATTCTCAACAAAGACAGTGTACCACAAGCGTTTGGTCCGCCTTGGCCCGGGCTCTCAAAAACAACTTAAACCCAACACATGTATTCTGATTTGTGTTTAAATCCATAGATTAGTACTATATCTACCTAAATATCAATGTGTGATGTTATAAAATGCAACATGTAAAGAAAACTGCTCCGTTAAAGCAGGGAGACTCTATAAGTTGTAGAGTATCCCTGGTTAAAGTGAAGCCCTTGTCTCTCATTTTTCAACATAGCCTCAATCAAAAGTGTTTAGTCTCTGTTCAGCCCGACTTGGCCCGTGCTATCAGTAACAACTTAAACCTCACACATGTATCTTGAAATGTGTTTATGTCCATAGATTAGTATTATATCTACCTAAATGTCACTTCAAAGAGTCTCAAAGCGTAGTATTTGAAGCGAAAACGTTGCTGAAAGTGAAGCTATCTTTTCTATATATTCTCGACAAAGACAGTGTATCACAAGCGTTCGGTCCGCCTTGGCCCGGGCTCTCAAAAACAACTTAAACCCCACACATGTCATGTATTCTGATTTGTGTTTAAATCCATAGATTAGTATTATATCTACCTAAATATCAATGTGTGATGTTACAAAATGACACATGTAAAGATAACTGGTTCGTTAAAGTGAAGCCCTTTTCTCTCTCCATTTACAACATAGCCTCAATCAAAAGTGTTGAGTCTCTTTCAGCCCGACTTGGCCCCTGCTGTCAAAAACAACCTAAACCTCACACATGTATCTTGAAATGTGTTTAAATCCATAGATTAGTATTATATTCACCTACATATCACTTCACAGAGTCTTAAAGCGTAGTATTTGAAGCAAACACCTTGCTCAAAGTGAAGCTCTCTTTTCTATATATTCTCAACAAAGACAGTGTATCACAAGCTGTCGATCCGGCTTGGCCCGGGCTGTCAAACGCACCTTAAACCTCACACATGTGTCTTGAAATGTGTTTAAATCCATAGATTGGTATTATATCTACCTAAATATCACTTTGTAATGTTATCAAATGCAACATGTAAAGAGAACTGGTTCGTTAAAGTGAAGCCCTTTTCTCTCTCCATTCTCAACATAGCCTCAATCAAAAGTGTTTAGTCTCTTTTCAGCCCGACTTGGCCCGTGCTGTCAAAAACAACCTTAACCTCACACATGTATCTTGAAATGTGTTTATTTTCTATACATTCTCAACAAAGACACAGTATCACACGCTTTCGGTCCGCCTTGGCCCGGGCTATCAAACGCAACTTCTCCCACTGCTCTCTCTAATACTTGTATTGTCTGTATGTGTGTTCAGGGAAACATGATTTATTATCTGAAACGCTTGAAGTTTACAATATCCCGAAACGGCATCTCCGAACCTTTGCGTGGCAAAGCTCTCACAGTGACAACAAATTTCTCCTGAGCCTGAGCTGGACAACACAGTATTATTTCCTTGGATGTGTTTTCATACTTTCGTATGTTCAAATTACATAACCATAACATCTCATACGGCAATTCCGTAACATGTCTCATTTTAGCTGATACCTTCTGATATTTATTAAGTTACTGATATATTTGGTTTAAACATTTTTTTATTTCACCAAGGCAGAAACCTGGATAGGCGAACAAGCCTAGTGGCTTATATTAACGCCGCTCCAGTACATTGTTCAAAATTAATAGCTGGATACACAAATGAGATAATTTGACAACAAAAGAATAATACCATAACAGATATATGATTGAGTAACAAATATGTTCGTTGAGGTGTTGGTTATGCCTAGCAACGAAATGGGCTGCCGCAGAAAATCACGTTATATAAAATTTGTCTTACACTGAATATATATGTTGAGGGGATAATTAATCACTGGAAGCGGTTACTTTTAGAAATAAACTGGTGTAATGAGTTAAGAATGTCACGGTTAGTTGAGTTATTCAATGCGCTGTTACCGTATAAAGTAGTTTTAACATCATGTTCTTGAATATAAAAATACACAGTTGTTCTTAAATTTTGATAGTTCCGACATGTAAAAAGGTAGTGAATAACGTCTTCGTCAAAATAGCCACATGAGCACCTGGGTGTGTGTGATATATGCCGATTATATATGTCTGCGTTTAGATCACTACAGCCGAGTTTGAGGCGACAATGAATGATTTGACAAAATCTAGTTCCAAAATTCAAATCAAGGTAATTGTGAGTTTCTGTTGTGTTTATCATGGTTTTAAATTGATTCAGGGAAATAGCGTTAACAGCTCCATCAGGCAATGATTCCACGTCATAATCGCGCTCGGCAAAAATGATTGAGAATATCTTGGCGTTCTACAATTAATAGTTTGAATAGAAGTACTATTTGTAAGATTATAGTTGCTTTGTTCGAGTACTCTACCTGGAACAAGATCATTCAGATAATCAGGAGTCAGACGATGATACATTTTATTGAAAGTTATGAGTTTAGAACGATGTCGTTTTTCTTTCAGTGTGCTATAATTAGTTTCCCTGTATATTTTATCGTGACTGGTGCCACGAACCGCACCGCTTATACTAGTAGTTCTTAAGGCGTCTAGATGTAAATTTTCCAGTAAAATCGCCTGTTCAATCGTACAATTATCCCATATATGACAACAGTAATCAAAAAGTGGTAGGATAAAGGAGTTCTATGAAGTATTAAGCGTTTTCCGAGATAAACGATATTTCAAACTTATCTGACAATTGATCATTGGACTAATTTTCTTTATCATGTCACCTATATGAACTTTCCAAGAACAATCGCTTTGAGGTGTTATACCTAAGTGTTGATGGTTATCCACTTCTTTAATAATTTCACCATTCATATATATTCTGATATATTTAAATCATGTCATGAATAGCTTCAGCCGACTATCTATATCTGTGGCATGTTCTCATTTCGCCTACATCCCAATTCGCCTATAGTCTTAAAACAACCTTTCATTGTCTGTTGACTGCTGATTACGCAATGGTTAACTAGTGGCACCCCTATGATCTAAAAGTGGTCTATTCTAATTGGAGTAGTTGAAGGACAAAAAGAATTTATTTCTGTTTTTTTTGTGTTATGTATTTATTCTGTTATTTGTCATTTTCCGATCACAATGATATTCACATCATATCACATTATTGTTAAGGAAGTTAACTTGTGCAGATGTCCATTTAAGAGATAAATATATTGTGTTGGAAAATTAGAGGTTTATAACGAAATTATAATAGCTCTAAATTTGAATTAAAAACGAACGCGTAGCGTGAGGTTTCAAATACAAAAATAGAGCTTATATAATTTTATCTCCATTCTACCATAGCCGTGTTATTAAGACTAAAAAAATAATACATACTGTATTGGAAAATCAGAGGTATATCACGTGATTACATACCTCTGAATGACCTTGATTAACCAATCACAATCCAGTATTTACTTCAACTTGGTAAGGTGACCAGCCGCGTCGAGGACCTAAAGGGGTGATCTTCAGAACAAATGCATTATGTTACCTACGAATACATAAAAATACCAAAATAGTTCAACCGTTTTTGTATTCAACTGGTATGATGTTGGTATTTGTAGGCAATTCAGAAAACCCATACACAACATAACACGAGTGGAAGCATATATAATTATATATGATTATATACATATATAATTAAACAAATGTCTCAAGTTAGCATTTCCAATTTTGTCAGTGATTACATGCCCATCTGTGAAAAAAGTGATGAAGAAACGGTAGAGCAATCAATGACACGGAAGGCGGAAGGCCTCTGACAGGTAATTAAGGGCAACAATGGAGTGTGTTAATTGAATCACAACACCCAGCTGATTGCAATTAGACAAGGGGCAATTAAGCAAGATAGATACAGGTGTATTAATTTCATTAGCCGTGGCAGTGATAGACTGAACACTGGGCTTCACTTTAAGCAACGCGTTTGCTTCAAATACAACGCTTTGAGACTCTATAAAGAGGTATTAGGTAGATATAATACCAATCTATGGATTTAAACACAAATCAGAATACATGTGTGGGGTTTAAGTTGTTTTTGAGAGCCCGGGCCAAGGCGGACCGAACGCTTGTGATACACTGTCTTTGTCGAGAATATGTAGAAAAGATAGCTTCACTTTCAGCATCGTTTTGCTTCAGATACTACGCTTTGAGACTCTGTGAAGTGATATGTAGGTAGATATAATACTAATCTATGGATATAAACACATTTCAAGATACATGTGTGAGGTTTAAGGTGTTTTTGACAGCACGGGCCAAGTCGGGCTGAACAGAGACTAAACACTTTTGATTGAGGCTATGTTGAAAAATGATAGACAAGGGCTTCACTTTAACGGAGCAGTTTTCTTTACATGTTGCATTTTGTAACATCACACATTGATATTTAGGTAGATATAATAGTAATCTATGGATTTAAACACAAATCAGAATATACGTGTGGGGTTTAAGTTGTTTTTGAGAGCCCGGGCCAAGGCGGACCAAACGCTTGTGATACACTGTCTTTGTTGAGAATATGTAGAAAAGCTGGCTTCACTTTCAGCAAGGTGTTTGCTTCAAATACTACGCTTTGAGACTCTGTGAAGCGATATGTAGGTGGATATAATACTAATCTATGGATATAAACACATTTCAAGATACATGTGTGAGGTTTAAGTTGTTTTTGACAGCACGGGCCAAGACGGGCGGAACAGAGACTAAACACTTTTGATTGAGGCTACGTTGTGAATGGAGAGAGGAAAGGGCTTAGTGTAAACATATTTTATTCAAAATAAATTGAACTAGTGTGGCAGTAACAGATTTTGTATATTTTAACATGTTGTAAATTGATTAGAATTCATGTAAATAAATGCTTTAAATTTCATTGCACAGCTTTAGTCATTTCATTTTATCATGATACTTAGCCTGCCTTAACTAACTATCACTCACAGCCAGTTCACAGAGCATGCTTACCGCATGTTCACCACACAGCACAATGACGTAAGCCCTTCCCCACCTACGTTCTTTTGTCTTTATAGCCAGCTTGGGCAATCAGCTAAGCTTTACACTTTTACACATTACAAGGTTTGTGGTCACTCCACATTCAATCGTCAGATGAGCAACATTCCATGTGGATTTTCTTAACATATATTTGGATCACATTCTAAGGTAATTTGGATATTTTGTCTATCTATTGTTCATGTATATCATTTGTAGATATAACTTGTAGTTGTATCAGTGTGTGTTAGTCTTAAATTAGTACTGTGAAGTTGGTGATAAATACTCTACATTCATTATAATGTAATATTAGTAACATGATTATCAAAAGGCAAGGTTAACCACGTGAGCATGTGATGAATGGATGAACACAAGTATAGCTTTGTAATCATAAATGGGTGAATGAAAATAAGCATGAATGAATGAATGAATGAGGTCTTATTTTGCATTGTTTTATATCTTGCTCAGCTACATCCACATTTGTGTTTGATTACTGAATTATTGCTGAGAATGCTTTTGTATATGTTCATTATTAGCATGTCTGTACATATATACTGAGTCAAAAAAAAAACTTCACAAAATGTAATTTGAAAAATAATGAATAATTTTTCTCTGATGATACATCTATGTATCCGAAATGGGATCCCTATCTTTCGACTCTAGAAAACGTTAGCAAAACCCACTCAAACCCATCCATTCGTCGTGCAAATGACGTTAGTGCCAAATCAGGTTTTGCACGTGCAGTCGATCACGTGATCTTCGCATCGAAGTTGTCTTCATATGCACGTGTTTGCATTGGCCTCAAGAATTGAAAAAACACTTTAAGACCACAGTTCTAACGGTACTTGAAATGCCACGATTGTCAAATGTGCAACGTGAACGTGCCGTTGGCATGTTGCAAGCGGGAAGATCAGTTATTGACGTCGCAAGAGCAATGGGATGCAGCCGTCGTACTGTGTATGACTTGCGAGGTCGTCTTCAACAAACTGGCACCACTTCTGATCGCCGAAGGTCGGGTCGTCTACGTGTGACGTCACGAGCAGAAGACCGTCAAATTCGTCCTACGTCACCTACGTGACAGATTTCTGCCGGCTACACGAACCAGGGCTGAGATGTTTAGAGGTCGACTGTCCTCACAGACCATTCGAAATCGGTTGCGGGCTGCCAATCTCCATTCTCGACGTCCATATCGTGGGCCAATATTGACGCCGTTTCATCAACGTCAGCGCCTGCTGTGGGCCCAACGTCACCTCCGATGGACCCAGAGAGACTGGAATCGAGTCGTCTTTAGCGATGAATCAAGGTTTACCCTCAGATTCGCGGACGGCAGGCATAGAGTCTGGAGACGACGTCGTGAACGGTATGCCCAATGTTGTGTACAGGAAGTCGACAGATTCGGGGGCGGAAGTTGCATGGTGTGGGGTGCTTTCTGTGGGAACAGCCGTTCCCGACTTCTGGTCATCCGTGGAAACCTCACAGCTGCTGCTTACCGCGACCAGGTGCTCACCCCTGAACTCGTTCCTTTCATGGCGGCTCATGGCCCAGGTCTACAGTTCCAGCATGATAATGCTCGGCCGCATACCGCGATGTTGACACGCGATTTCCTTCAAAACGCTGGAATCAACGTCATGGACTGGCCATCGAGTTCCCCTAACCTTAATCCAATAGAGCACGTTTGGGATGCACTTGGGAGAAGGCTTCGTGGTCTTAGGAACCAACCTCAGAATTTGCAGGAACTTGGCGCTGCCTTGCAAGAGCAATGGCGCAGAATCCCCAACCACGTGTTCACAAGCATCAGGCAGTCGATGAGGAGACGGTGTTTGGCAGTGGTGACACGATATTGAAGTGAGAAATTTCGCATTTTCATTCTTGTGACTTGACATTCTGTATACCCATGTTTTGGAACGGCGGTGTAGCCTAATTGAACTGATTATGGCACTGTCAGTGTATCGAGTACATCACACAGATCTCAGCAATGAAATAATAACAATTTAACCATCTTACCATCTCTTGTTCTTTTATAGTGCCCTGAAGAAAGAATGTGAAGTTTCTTTTTTGACTCAGTATATTATTGTTATTTTCTCTACAGGCGAACATTTAATACAGATACAGCAGCGTCCCCAGGTGTGAAATAAACCTAGGCCCACACACCTGGTAGGTTTATATATTGTATATATGTCATGTATATCAAATGAAATACATTTTGTACACAGTAATTGTTTACTGAAGCAACTATTTTGTAATGTTATAGGGTTGAGTTGAGTTGAGCTTTACGTCACATCGGCATTTTTCCAGCCATATAGTGACGAGAACAAGTTTGCATTAGTAAACATTGTAAGTACACACTCGGAGTGAGTTTTATTTCAAAGACATTTATTTATTACATTGTCATTCAAAAGCAGAAAAAGTCATAGCATCAAATTTAAAGGCAGGCGGTTTGTTACGTTTCATAGTTACAATTTATGGTTGTTACATTTCACAGTTACAATTTATGATACAGATGAACTTCCCTCAGGTAGTTCAGTATCAGATGGGCGCTCACGCGTGAGAACAGATCTTTTAGGTTTGTTGCATCATAATGTGAGTCCCTTGCAGGCGATAAGTCCACGCATTCAAGCAGAATATGCTTGACGGTGATCACCTCATTGCAAGAGACACACATGGGGGGTCCATCCCCATCCGTTTTCAGCAGATAGTCATGTGTAAATCGACTGTGGCCAATACGACATCGTCGTAGAATTACCTCATCGCGTCTTGACTGACAACCCAAGTAGGTATAACCAATTGTTGGCTTCAATTCATGGAGTTTGTTTCTTCCTACTTGAGTGTCCCACCTTTTTTTGCATCAGGTCCCGAGTATAGCTTTTGATAGTGGGTTTGAAGTCACTGTACGGGATTAGCAGTGGAGATAAGGGCTTTTCAAGAGCTGCTTTTGCTGCAGCATCGGCCTTTGTGTTACCTGCTATGCCGACGTGACCCGGCAACCAGCAGAGGACGATGTCATATTGGCCAGTAGAAAGGTCGTTGTACAGTTCTAATATGTCCAGGATGATTGGGTGACTTGAAGTCACGTTTAGAAGTGCTTGAAGGCAGGATAATGAATCTGTAAATACGATGAAGTTTTTGGACTGATTTTGCTGTTGAATGTAGGTCAAAGCTGAGAAGATAGCTTTGGCTTCAGCGGTGAAAATGGAACTGTTGTCGGGGATCCTAGAGGAGACAGTCTTGGCTCCGATGACTGTAGCGCTGGCAACTTGGCCATCGTCCTTGGATCCGTCTGTGAAAATGGATCTGTGAGTGTTATACTTCGTACGTAACTGGTTGTATTCCTGTTGGAACACCAAGGGATTTGTTTCAGACTTTTTTGAGTTTGGTGAGGGTAAGTTCGACCTGTGGTTTCACCATTTGCCATGGTGGTGAGGACAGAAGTCGGTATGGTGCAATGATGTCGAGATCAATTTTAGCTGCAGATATGTGTGGTTTGATCCTGATTCCAAGTGGTGGAACCAGGCTTGGCAGTTTAGGAAATAAGTTTTCATAGAGCGGGTTGAAAACACAATTGTATGCTGGATTGGGCTCATTTGAACGTAATTTAGTGATATGCTGCAGTGAGAGTTTAATGCGGCGTTGTTCAAGGGAAGGTTCATTGGCTTCTGCATATAGACTGTCTACCGGAGAGGTCCTAAAAGCTCCCAGGCAGAGCCTCAGTCCTTGGTGGTGGATAGAGTCTAATTTTTCTAAATTGCTTTTGCAGGCTCCACCGTAGACAATGGAGCCATAATCTAGTTTACTGCGAACTAATGATCTGTACAAGTGAAGTAGGGTGGTCTGATCCCCTCCCCACTCTGTATTTGAAACCACTTTTAGCAAGTCTAGAGCCTTCAAGCACTTGGTTTTCAAATATTTTATGTGTGGTAAGAATGTCAGGTGGCGGTCGAATATGAGTCCAAGGAATTTGGCCTCTTCTACTACCTTGATGGGAGTACCATCTAAAGTTAGGTCTGGATCCTTGTGTGGTTTGTATTTACGACAAAAATGAATACAATTTGTTTTGGATTTTGAAAACTTAAAACCATTTTCATTGGCCCATTTTGGATTTTGTTAAGGCAGAGTTGTAGCTGCCTTTCTATTGCGTGCATGTTCTTACCACGACATGAAATATTGAAGTCATCCACGAAAAGGGACCCATCAACGCAACTGTTCAGAACGTTAGTGAGGCTGTTAATTTTGATGCTAAAAGTGTGACAGACAGGATGCTGCCTTGGGGACGCCCTGATCTTGGTGGAAATAGTCGGACAGTGTGGAACCCACCCGAACTTGAAAATGTCTGTTATTTAAAACCGAGATATGAATTGAGGTAATCTACCCCTCAATCCAAACTCGTGTAAATCTTTTAGGATACCATGTTTCCATGTTGTATCATATGCTTTTCTAAGTCGAAAAAGATAGATACTGCATGTTGTTTGTTGACAATGGAGTTTTGATGAATGATTCTAGACGCACCAGATGGTCAATGGTACTTCGGTTTTTTCGGAAACCACATTGGAGGTCACTGAGGAGGTTATTGGTCTCCAGGTACCAGATTAATCGATTGTTGACCATGCGCTCCATGGTTTTGCAAACGCAGCTAGTTAGTGATATAGGACGGTAGTTTGAGGGATCAGTATGATCGCGGCCAGGTTTTGGTATAGGGATGATAATGGCATTGTGCCACGAAGGGGGAAAGTGTCCGGATGTCCAGATGTCATCAAATATATTTAGGAGTGTTTCCAAGCCTGAGTCAGGGAGGTGTTTCAGAAGCTGATAATGGATTTCATCAGCTCCTGCCGCAGTGTCGTGAGCCTGTCCTAGGGCAGTACTTAATTCATGGAGGGAGAACATTTCGTTGTAATCCTCCCCATTATCAGAGTTAAAATTGACTGGTTTCTTTTCTTGTTGGGTTTGATATTTCTGGAACCGAGGGTTATAATTTGATGAGGAGGAGTGGTTTGCCAAAGTTTCACCGAGTTTGTTTGCAATCTCAGATTTATTTGTTAGAAGGGAGTCACCATCTTTCAGGTGGTGAACTCCTGATTTTGACCCTTTGCCCTTGATCTTTTGAATCATGTTCCACACCTTGGACATGGGTGTGCGGGAGTTGATTTTGGACACATATTTCCTCCATGAGCGGCGTTTAGTTTGTTTGAAGGTACGTTTTGCCCTGGCATTTGTCATTTTAACAGCATTCAGGTTGTGCACTGTAGGATGTTGTCGGAAATATTTTTCCGCCTTCTTCCTATTTTTCCTAGCTTGTTTGCAGTTTGTATCAAACCATGGTTTGCATATGTGCGGGTTTGCAGAGGACTTAGGAATACTTTTGTCTCCGATGGCATTTAGGACGTCTGAAAATAGTTCCATGGGGTCAGGAACATTCCTGAAGTTGTCCGGCTTAAGTTTTTCTGAACATAGGGTTTGGAATAAAGGCCAATTGGCCTTAGTAAAATTCCATCTTGTTGATGGTGGTTCATCCGTGGGGTTGATAGGAGTAAGAATTGTTGGGAAGTGGTCGCTTCCACAAAGGTCGTCATGGACCGACCATTCGAACTCATTTAAAAGATTAGAATCTGTAAGTGATAGATCGAGAGCAGAGTATGTTCCGGTGGCAGGGTGGAGGTAGGTGTTTGATCCATCGTTGAAGATGCAGACATCATTATTTGAGAGAAACTCTTCAAGTATCTTTCCCTTACTATTTGTATCAGTACTCCCCCATAGGGGGTTATGGCCGTTGAAGTCGCCCATGATTATGCAGGGCTTCGGGAGTTGATCATATAAGTTCTGAAGATCTGATAGGCGAACAGTTGAGGTGGGAGGGAGATAGAGGGAACATAGTGTAAACCCTATGTTCAGAGTCATGCGGACAGCAACAGTTTGTAGGTTGGTTTTAAGTGGGACAGGGCTATGAAGGATGCCCTGCCTCACCAGGATAGAAGTGCCTCCTGTAGCCTTTACACCGGGGGAAGAAAAGGAATGGTAGGAACTGTACCGACGGATGTCAAATTTATCGGTCCTTTTTAGGTAGGTTTCTTGGAGACAAAACGCAGATGGTTTGAAGTCTTGAATCAATAACTGTAATTCATTATAATTATTCTTAAGTCCTCTGCAATTCCATTGGATCATGTTTTGTGGATTCACGGTGCTTCCACTGGTGACATGTCACGTGAGCGTGAGGAAGCGTTTGATGAACTCTTATTGGTGTCAGGTGGAGTTGGAGTTACCTCCATATCCAGAGGGCCAAAGGAGTTATGGACCTCATTGGGGACCTCTGAAGGAGAGGTGGCCTTTGGTTTTGTGTTTGGTAGTTCAAGTTGTTTTAGTCTCTCTAGCCTCTTTCTTTCCCTTTTTCTGCGCGTAGATTCTGTTTCTGGTTTTGGCATTTGTTCTGGTGTTTGTGATTCAGAAGTTTTGACTTTTGGCGTTGGAGATGGAGTGGCTGAGATAGGCTGAGTTGTGTTGAGTTCAGTTGGCTGAGAAGACGTGACCCATGTCAGGTCGGTCTGACACGAGATGGTTGCAGTAGTGATAGTAGGATGGGAGACAGCGGCAGAGTAGGTGATGGTTGAAGGGGCTGCAGTTAGACTTGCAACCCTCTTCTTTGCTTCGTGAAAGGAGATATTTTCTTTGTGTTTAATCTTCAGTATCTCGGATTCGCGTTTCCATACTGGGCAGAACTTGGAAGAGGCCATATGGTTACCACCGCAGCTTGTGCACTTCACTTCCTTAGTACAGTCGTTGCCCTCATGCTTGTCACCACAGCGGTAACAGACAGCAGAGGAACGACAGGACTTGGATCCATGTCCAAACTTTTGGCAGTTGTAGCACCGGAGTGGATTGGGGACATACACCTCCACACCAATGCTACAATAACCAGCTCTAATCGAGTCAGGAATGTTTGCTCGCGCGAACGTGAAGAGATAGGTGTTCGTTGGTTGAACAGCACCATTCTTTTTGAAGGTAAATCGTTTGACGGCTGTGACGGATTGCTGAGAGAGTTCCTTGACAATTTGTTCTTCGGTCATGTCAGACAGGCATCGAGCTCTGTCCCGTACAATGCCTCTACACGAATTAAGGGTTTTGTGTGCTGAGACAGCGACCTTGATATTTACAAATTCTTGTATTTTGAGAAGATTTAAAGATTGTTGTTTCCGGGTACATTCTATCAGGAGAGAGCCAGATCGGAGCTTTGTGACATTGGCAACCTCTCCGCAGATACCAGCGATACCTTTGGAGATTGCAAAAGGTTCAATTGCAAAGGTTGCTTGTCACAAGCCTCAATAATCAGGAAGCGTGGCCAGTAGTCAGGTCGGGGGTACTCTCGTCAGACGAGGAATTGTCGGTATCCATGTGTCGTCGTTTTGAACCGGGGTATTGGGAAGCCATGTCGTGGGTAATGTGGTTCAGCATCCCTCTCCCCACCCACCGTGGAGTGTCAACAAGGACGATCTTATATTGCAGCGGATCTCCAAGCTGCAAAGACCAGGGATAAAGGGATGTTATACTCCAGCGAATTTGACATGAAATGCTGTAGCTGCCTACCAGATTAAAGGTCAGGATGGTTCTGTCCATGACAATCAATTGGAGACGTACAGAAATCGGAGGTCAGCATCACCAGATTGGCCCATGAGCCACCGCCTTCTGTGCATGGGTCTGCGAGGCTAATTTGTTCCGTAGGATATTTGTTAGCATTTTGAACATGGCCAAAAGTGTTATGTAATACTACGTTTTGTATAGACATTCCATGCACAGGGCAAGGCGTGACCAGCCGATTGGTAGAATCGGGCCTATTCTACCACCCGTCTAGGCAAAGTTAGGGTCGAAGTGGTGTGTTGGATTAGTGAACACTATTGCCGGTTCCGTCATCCTCAACCACCAGACTCCCTTCCTCTGCCGACACAGGGATGCAACCCACGGCAAACGGGTTGCCCAATTTGATCGCCTCTTACGACCAGCAATGGGGTGCTGTGGACCTATTCGACCCCGGGTCCACACGGGGGCGAAGAGCCATTGGCGTTACCCAGCACCCACCACGAGGAGGTTGTAGCATATGTACGAATTATATGTGTATATCTGTGTTTAGGATATGTGTATATTGCTGCATTTATTATATTGTACACCTGATTGTTTCAGGGTTGTTGTTTTCACCTATAAACATCTCCAATAAAACATCGGCCATTGAAGAACAACAAAAGTAGCGTCTGTTGTCTGTGCGTGACTGACGCAGTCCTGCTACACTAGGATAGGTAAACAAGCCGTAATGGCTTATTTGAATACCTCTCCATTTCATTGATAAATGAATAAAACAAATATTAAATAATATGCAGCATGATAGGAAAGCAACCAACCTGCGTATTAAACATTATTAATCATTTATCAAACCTATGCGATCTTATTATAAAAGTATGGACAGATTGTAGTATAAAAGAATTTACAAGTACATTTTTGTTTGGATTACCATTTAGGACAGAATTTAAATTATATCCATGTTCGTAAAAATACATGCGATGTCTGATGTTAGAATAATTAGGACAAGTAAAGAAGTAATGTAAAGTATCCTCATTGGGGTGACCACAGGAACAGAATGGATCAACTGAAATGTGCCGTTCAAACGTGCGCTTTCAAATTACTGCACCCAAGTCTGAGGCGTGAGTGGATAATTTGGCAGAAACGTGTACCAAAGTTTTTATCAAATATATTAAAATTGGGTTGTTTTGATGATTGGAATGCATTTTTGAATTGGCCTATGGTTTCAATATCGTACATATTCTCAGGCAAATCATTCCATTGTCGTATTGTATCAGGTAAAAACGAGTTGCTGTACAAATCACTACGACATCTTATAGTTTGAATGTTATTACTGTTTCTTAATCAATGGTCACTTAACTGTGATACTTTTTCGGGCAGTAGATCAGTTAAATAAACTGGTGACATATGATGAACCATTTTGTAAAATAATGATAGCTTGCTAATTTGTCTACGGTCAACTAGGGGCATAGAGTTAGTTTCCTTATATATTAAATCATGACTTGTTCCTCTAACTGCCCCGCAAATCGTCCACAGTGCGTCTAAATGTAGATTTTTGACAAGTTTTTCTTGTTCTTAAGTGCAGTTATCCAAAAGGTGCGAACAGTAATCGAACGTTGGTAATATATATGACTTGTACATTTGCTCTAATGATTTTCTAGATAATCTATATTTAAAACTACGTAGACAATTTACCAATAGACGAACCTTTTTAACTAATTAACCAATGTGGGAGTTCCATTTACAGTCTGATTGCAAGGTTACTCCTAGGTGTTTATGGTAGCCGACTTCAGTAATGTCTACTCCATGCATTTTAAGCTTAGGAATTGGAAATTGATTACCGTAATTTCTGCGAGTGAATAAAACAGCTTCAGTCTTACCAGGATTAAAGCTAACCTGCCATATTTCAGCCCAGTGAGAGATCCTATTAAGGTCATTATTTAAGGAAGCGGCAGTAACAACATGATTATCAACAATAACATATACCGAAGTATCATCGGCAAAAAGACGAATGTTACTACTGATACCCTCAATGATATCATTTATGTAAACTAAAAACAGTAATGGCCCAAGGACAGATCCTTGTGGCACCCGAGCAGTGACTTTCTTTAGATCTGAATTGTAATTGTCTATAGCTACTCTCTGTAATCTGTTGTCAAGATAACTGGAAAACCAATCAAGTAACTTACCCTTAATACCATAAGCTTCTAATTTCGCTATGATTCCCTTATGCCAAACCTTGTCAAAAGCCTTGCTTATGTCACAGAAAACTGCCCTGACTTCTTTGCCATTGTCTGATGCATGTAGTATAAAATCATACAAGTATGTCAGTCGGTATACAGTTCCATCCCCAGGCATGAATCCTGACTGCAAATTCGTTAATACGTTATTATCTGAAAAAAAGTTACACACGTTTAAAAATACATTTCTCAAATACCTTTGATAAACAGTTGGTAAGAGCAACTGGTTTATAGTTTTTACATTCATTAAAACTACCCTTTTTATGAATAGGAGTGACAATAGCTTCCTTCCATATTGTTGGGAATTCACAATATTCTAGGGATAAATTGAATATATTAGTAAGAGGAGTACAAAGGGATGGCATGATCATTTTGATAAATCTGTTACCTATTTTGTCTGGTCCACTGGCTTTGGAAATATCAGCTGATAATAGGATCTCTCTTACTTCTTGTGTAGTCAATACAATAGACGCAAGTGGAGTCTTTACTTTACATTCAAGTGTAGGAGTGTCCTTATCAGGATAGTCAACTTGTGCATGGTTAGCAAAATATGCATTAAATATATTTGCTTTATCTTTACTATCATTGATCAGATTATCGTTATGAATAATCGAAGGTAATTTCTTATAATCTCCATTTTTGGATTTTATATACTTGTTCACTAAAGCCCACCAAAATTTAGAATTACTCCCCTGATTGATCTTATCATCTAAATCAGAAGTATATTTCAATTTGGCTGCTCTCGCGGCTGCTGTTACTTTGTTCCGTAAAAGCCTAACTTTTTGCCAGCCTTTATCATAATTTCGAGTCTTTGCTTTCTTATGCTGTCTATTTCTTTTCCTGATAAGTATTCTTATAGCACTATTCATCCATGGATTGTCCCGAGGTCTTATAGTTACCACATTGTTTGGGACATAAATATCACATATATTTCTCAAGACATCAACAACTTCATGTGTTAGTATATCAATATCATTACATCTAAAGATGGAACCCCAGTCAACGTTGTTAAGGCCTCGATTCATTCCCTCAGTATTAGCTAAATCATAATAAAACACTTTCCTTTTAAATTTTAAAGGCGTTGAATCAGAGCCCCCAACAGAGACAAAAACTGGACAATGATCACTGCAAAAAGGATCAAACACACCCGAAGTGCGAATACAATTAGGGTTTGAAACAAAGATTAAATCAATTAACGTACTAGTCGTTTGGGTGATCCTTGTTGGTTCTGTGATAAGTTGCTGTAAGTCATATGTATCGAGAAGATTGTCAATCATGTTATTAGTCTGGTTATGTATATTGATGTTAAAGTCACCAGCAATAATAGTATCTATGCCCATGTCAATGCCATTACCAATTGATTGGAGGACTAATTCCCAATAAAGATCACTTTTATCTGCTCTGTAAAAATTTCCAATCAAATAGCTCTTGTTTTTACACATAACTTTAACCCAGATCGCTTCTAAACCTAAGGGAGACAACTTATCAGCATGTGTAACGTGCAGGTTCTCTCTCACATAGATAGCAACACCTCCACCTTTTGATGGTCTATCCTTCCTAAAAGGGGCGTGGTAACCGGGGATAAGAATATTATTGTTGTCAATTGTGACATTCAACCATGTTTGTGTTAAACATATAACATCATAGTCACTTAATTCTGGGTGGATTAAATAAACTTTTTCTCTTAAGCTACGCACATTCAGATGAACTATTTTTAAGTCAGGATAAGCAAGTGGGCCTGGATTTGGTTTTAACATATTTTATTCTATTCAAGAAGAAAGAAAAGGATTGGCAAACAAGCCAAAATGGCTTATATTAATGCTGCTCCATAATACATGTGAAGGTTCACATTTGTGCATAATACATATTTATAGTGGTTATAACAAATTATCCCTGAATAATAACAATCATGGATATCAACAAGTTATCTTGGTTTTGTTTCGTGGCCAGTTGATACAAATATAAAAAATAAGAGAAGCTACAAAACTTTATGAATCAAAACGTTTTGATGTAATAATGAATTGATGGACTGACCGTAGAATATCCATATTCGTCTGATGAGATACTGAGTTATTGCCATTTAGCACATCCCGCAGGGAGAAACCTTTCACATAGAAATACGATTCGTATCGAATGGTATTATATTTAGGACACATGAAAAAATAGTGGAATACATCCCCATAATCTTGTGAGCAGGAACAAGAAGCATTATCAGAAATGAAACGATTATACTTATCACTGTTTAAGTCACTGCATCCCAATCTAAGGCGGAATTGTATTATTTGACAAAATCGACTACCAAAATTTAGATCGAACATTGTGTTGGTATTAACTTGTGGTGTGATTGAATTCTTAAACTGTCCAACAGAGGAAGCGTTTGTAGCATTTGTAGGTAGGTCATTCCACAGTTTAATTGTATCGGGCAAAAACGATTTGGCATAATTAGTAGATTTGCATCTTATAGCCTGATAATTTTCATTATTCCTAAGATTGTAGTTACTGTTATCAGAAACATTCCCTGGAGCAAGATCACAAAGATAGTCAGGAACCATATGGTTTACCATTTTGTAAAATAATGTTAATTTAGAAGTTTCTCTCCGTTTCGATAAGGAAGTCAGGTTTGTCATGTCATGTAACTGACAAGGGCTGTTCGTTTGTACAATTATCCCAGAGATGACAGCAATAGTCAAATAGAGGTAAGATAAAGGATTTATACATTGTTTCGAGAGTTTTGCGTGATAGTCTATATTTAAAACTACGAAGGCAATTAATCATAGGGCTAATTTTCCTTATAATTTCATTAATGTGGGAATGCCAGAGGAGGTTTTCCTGAAAAATAATGCCTAGGTGTTTATGAATCTGCACTTCATTTATAGGTGTACCATTCATCGAGAGGGGAGGTTTCGTAGAAGGTTTCGTTTTGTGTGAAAACTGGATAGTTTCAGTTTTGTTTGGATTACATTTTACTTGCCAGGTTTCCGCCCATTTAGATATTCTGTCTAAATCTGAGTTAAGAATAAATGCACTCGTATGGGGATCGTCGATTATTACATAGAGTGGTGTGTCGTCTGCGAAAAGGCGTATATTACTTTCGATTCCATCAACTATGTCGTTTATGTATATTAAGAATAAAAGAGGTCCAAGGACTGATCCTTGGGGCACTCCGGCTATTATCGGTTTTAATTCTGATTTGTAACCTTGGATAAATGTCATTTCTTTCGGTTGAAGGATGAATAAGAAGGAAATTACTTTCTCCTAGTGGTGTGGAGCTTTGATGTAAGTAGAGTAGTCTGAGCCAGTAGGTGGCGCTAAACAGGGGTATTTAAGGATATTAAGATTTGAATTGTTCATTCTCGCTCTAGTGCAAGCACGGCCATAACGTCATATTTAATATGGACACGGACGCCAAACTGGATGCAATACTTCAGCAATTAGAGTCGAACAAAGCTCAATTTGAACTGTCG